AATTGCAATTTTGAATTATTTCGAGAATGACGTGAATAGAAAACATGCATGGAATAATGCATGGAATTTTCATTCGATTTATATTCATATTTCTTAAGTAAAAAAACTTGTTTTATGCTAAAATTTATGCTCTGATATGTACTGATTTATTCGAAAAATATAGTGAATGCACAGAAATTAAAGATTTGCACATCCCGAAAAATGAGAAGTATTAAATATGTACGAGTATTTATCCATATCTTTGTAACAAGTGTGTATTAACAAAATAAGTAAATAGTTATTAAATTACTTATAAATTTATTTGGAAATCAAGGATTTATTCATTTATAAACTCCTGTAATGTTACTGTAAAGAAAGCTAGTTATTAAATACATCTAAATTTATAATGATTATAACTATTATCTAAATATATATAAACACTTAACATTTAACTGTAAGCATAAGTTGAAACTGTATTGACAAATATATTTATAAATCTATTTAAGAAAGAATTGTTCGTACTGAAAAACAATCTGTTAAAAGGTGTTCTAAAGTATAGTCTCTGAGATGCGTACTTAAGTAGTGAAGTAGAAATTTTACAATGCGTATTGTTGAAATCAAGGGTAAAAAAGTTTTTGATATGTATTTAAAGAATTATTTCCTTGCATTTCATAATAATTCAGTTACAAGTTTTTAATAATAATAACAAACCTCCCTTTTTTATCCCTTTCGAAAACACTCACAGAAAGTTGAGTACATGGAAATCAGAAATCAGTAACAGTATTTAACGTGTTTCACTATTCAACTAAAAGGTGCTCTGATTTGAAAACAACCGAACAAAGCATTAATTATAGAAAGACCACGATTTTTTATTTAAAAACTGAAAAGCAGCTAAAAGCTGAAAATCATCTCATATTTGAAAAGTATTTCAGAAAGAAACTCTGTAAACAGAAAAGAAATATTTCATAATTTTAAGATTAATAATACAATAAACTTTGATTTTAATTTTTGTTATCGTTAACCGAATAAAATCGAACTACCTTAATATTTCTTTCTAATGTAGTTAGCGAAAACTTGTAAAAACATTTCATTCAAATTAAAACTCTTCTGAGCAAACAGTTCTGAGAAAAATATAGCACTTAATTCCGGTCAGAATGAAATGTTGTTTAAAAATATATTCTTTCACATACTTAGGACTTTGAAAGGTTGTAGAAAAAGAAAATATATATTTATGACTTCAAGGCAGTGTAGGGGGGGAAACCATGTCGAGCCTCTTCTTTATTTCCCACTTCCATGGTTCCAATACAACGTTCCGCTCGGCGTAGAATAGACCTCCTTGCTAACCTCTTTGCTTTCCATTAGACTCCATCAGTGGCCAAATCCTTCTAATGGAACACTTCCTTGCCTTCCTTGGAGCGGACACACTTCTATCTAATACTGCACCTCCTCCTCGTATTTTAGTCATTACCACTTTACTTTCCAGAACGTTCTACACCGCCAAATTACACTAAATTTTAAAAAAAAAACTTTGTAACAATTCTCTAGTTTACTATGTGGGTGCCAATTGTAACACCTTGAGTAGTTTCCATTAACTTTGCCATGCCAATTATGATAAAACCAAGGTGTTTCATTTATCCTGAGCCGTGAATTATCACCACCAGAATAGTTAATCATCAAACAAACAGACACAGAATTAAAACACTTTAAAGTCATTCTACTTCACCATTTGTGAGTGATTAAATTAAAATATACAGCATAAAATCACCAGTCAACTTGAACCTAGTTTCAATATAAGCTTCTTTTTACGAAGGATATACAGAGTGAGTATGTTTATACGTTGTTAGAATGATTTCGGGGCTGCTTAATTAATGTTTAAACTGTAAGGAGTATTTTTTTTAAATGTTAGGTTTGATAGCATTTCTTCTGCATCATGATTTCCATGATAGAAAGGCTTTTTATAAACTTTACCAGGGGTATTGACTTTCATTCCACTTCCATTACTTCCCAGAGTCCATCAGTTGTGGCAGGTTTGCCCTTAGAGGCACAAGAGTCCTCAGATGAAACTTCAAGTGACTTCATAGGAATACGTTGAAAAGGTATATATGCAATACCTATAGTCATCAAATTTTCAAGAAATGCAGTGGTGGTTTTCGGAATATGATTTATTGCTTTGTCATGATGAAGTTTCACTCTCAAAACGATTGGGACAAAGAATTTCTTTTCTAAATATTGAATATTAAACTTTTTCTTGATATTATATTGATTTTAACATTTTTTCCCACTCTTCTTATTTTTAACTTCCCACTGTAAGAGAATCCTGCGACGATCATGAACTTTTTACAGAAACTTTGGTTGCGCTGACGGAGCCAGGTTTGTACATTTTTCTTTTCATTTTCGGTAACAAATAGACCTTTTTTTTTTTTTTTTTTTTTTTTTTCAGTCATTTGCATAAAACCATGTTTCATCATAGGTCACTATATATTTCCACTTATCACATGCTAAACAGTTTTCAAACAGGTTCTACAAATTGTTCTGCGTTGAGCCGCATGCCTCGGCGAAAGCTGTGGTGGAAATTGTGCTTTTTAACTTTTTTAAGTTGCAAATCTGGGTTTATTGTTTTATTTATTGTTGCTACAGATGTATTTAAGATTCTGCAATTTATTTCTCCGTCGGCGGATTTTCTCTTGTTACAAATGATCTTAGTTTAGAAACATTAGAAACAATAACGTACGTTTTTCGTGCAATCGTTTAAAGCAGCGGTTATCAACCTTTTAACTAACGCGTACCATCTAAACAAAATTTAAAGTCTTTAGTACCACCACTACAAAGTACTACTACCACCACTCTTGAACAAAGCTCCGATCGCATACATTTACGAGTGTTAGAGAAAAACCTCAATCAGGATGTTGGGGCTTTAATTTTTGAATTTAATAGTTAAAAATACTTTGCTTCTTTGCGTACCACCTATTTTTCTCTTGCGTACTACCGGTTGAGAACCCCTGGTTTAAAGTCTTCTCTCTATGTAGAAGTAATGACTGACGGTTTTTTGTTTTTCCCCCTTCGGATTAATAATATTGCTTATTTTGCACTTAGAAATTTTAATCCTACGCATTTCACAACGATTTGGAATTACAGAATAAGGCTATTTCTCTTCGGAAAACGCAAAAACATATCCTTCAATCCATAGATTGTTTACATACAAGATTTTGAAAGAAGAATAAATTTTAAAGTAGCAAACGATGTCGTTTATTTCAAATAATATGCTGTTTCCAGAAATTTTTATTCCAAAACATTTGCCTTTTTTGAATTCTTCATCGAAATTTTTCTAAAAATGTGTACCCTCTGTAGATTCAGAAATTTATGTCTAACATATATGGAGACTGCAAGATTATGTAGATCACGACAAAAACTTGAAGACGTAGTTACCAAGCGGATCTAATTTCTAAAGTAATCCCAGCAAGAAAAGTCTTTTTTTCCTATAGAAAGGGTAGGGAAAGCACTCGAAATCTCTCATAATCCTAATCGTGAAATTCTACGCTTTAAAATAGTAAAACTGCTTGCCACTCAAAATTTAAATATACTCTGGTGTGAGTGAACCCCCGTTGCGACAAGAGGCAGAAAGAAAATAATTAAATTAGCATTTTGTTATTAACACTTGAACATAAATGTCACGACCGTATAAAGATGTTCATTATATATATATAAACTTAAAGCATCTAAAGTTTACATATGCAAAGGTTATAGCAACTGAAATAAGCTGAATAATTATAAGAACTTATTTCTATTGTGAAACACACGAGATGAGGACGAAATTTTGAAATAAGAATTTGCTTTGTGCTTACTGAAAATTATTGAAAAAATTGCTATCTCATGCATGGTATGTATATTTGTGTGGGCTTTCTAAGTGCAAATTATCCATGCGGACTTTATTAGTGTCATATTTTAGCTGTGTGGCCTTTTATCTATGTGGGTATTTTTTTATGTGGGCAATCATGGCTGTATCTTTCTTCTATGAGCTTTTATCTGGTCACCTTTATATTCGGGCAGGCTAGAAGTACAAACAAAGATGCATGAATCAAACAGTCGCGTCAGCTCGTGAATGTTTAAATCGGTTCTGAAAATTAACCAAACTTAACCCTGCAGGGTAGGTTTGATTAACGTAATTTTCTCCTCTTGAAACAAAATCATCGGTGATCATTATTATCAGATTGAGTATAATGTTCCAGCTGTTATACTAGGTGATTTATTTGAGGTGTCATTTGCAACAGAACGGATGCATTCTCAAGGGAAACTGGTTTCTATTTACGTTGCATATGCGAAATCGATGAAAACCTATGCAGCCTCTTCGCTTAGTCGTGTTCAGGACAGATATAGTCCATCTGTCTTATCCATGACTGCATGGATAAGACAGATGGACTATATCATAGGCGACCGATGTACTTAATGACATCCTAAACTGGAAAATAGCATAGGCAAACCTTTTGTAGTGATGCGTTTTTGCTTTCAAGTTTGAAAGATGGAGATTTTACTGACTACATTTTGTTCCCAGATCCAAATTGTTACTCCAGACGTCGTATTACGTAATTAAACCAAACAGTATAAAGATTACACCTTGATATAATCTTGTGTAGTGTCTCTTACTACCCTGCGAACAATACCAGTATTTCTACTTGGTATCTGATTTAAGTTACTGTTCGGTAACCACGCAACACAAGAGAATTTGTGGAAATGTTACAGCTAACACGAAGTTGCGCGAATTAATTGTCCTATCTAATACAGCTATAAAATCCTGAAACATTACTTTTCTAACAGAAAAAATCACTTTTTAACAGAAAAAATCTTTTTTCTGTTAAATTTTTTTCTTAATTAATTATTTATTAAAATTTCTGTTAAACTTTTTTCTGTTGTTCTTGTTTCTGTTTTTCTTGTTGTTTCTTTACTTTCTAACAGAAAAAAATCACACAAAAGTCTGCATTGCTATCAGTAAGCTTGTAAACTTACAAAGCCATTGTTCCTTTCAGATTGGATCCTGGACTGGAAGACGAATGTTTTGGTCATCTGCAAGCCCAAACCTTCCAAAAGCTTTACCGCAGATCAATGAGAAGCAAAAACTTCGAATTACAACTCTAATTGTAAGTTAACACTCATAATTAATGGAATAATAAGAAAAAGTGCCCCGCAATTTTTGAAAATAAATAAATATTTTTCAACATTTTATAAAATTTAGTAATACGCAAACGTACAAGTAACGTAGTTATACATATAACATCCCATAGATTTTCTGATATGCAAGATGTAATATACATAATTCTATACATATTTATTTTCTGTTATATTGTCTTGCATGAAAAATATTCAAATAGAAAGTATTTATTTAATCAATGTAATTCTTATGCAGCTTTTTTATTAATTTAAATCTGCAATTGATCAGGGAAAATCATCATTTTGTTTGCGATGTTTTCCCTGTCGCTTTCCATTATTTAAATTAATAATAATGAAAATAATAGCCAGATTTTATGTTAATTAACCAATTATGATTTGAATCTTTATTATAACTTCTTCTTTCCATAAACCTCACTAGTATGCAAATTAGTTATAGAGTATTTAAGCTGAGGGTTTGAATGTTGTGGAGTTAGACCTTTTGATCGTCTTGCTTGTAGATCATGGCTTATCGTCAGTTCTGCCAAATTTTATTCCGGCTTTGGCCATTTTGCTAGCCGATGGTAAATATCCGCCGTTAATTACTTGAGCCAGCTTAAGCAGATAATTTTATGTCTAATTTCAGACTACGTTACTTAAATTTGAATTTGAATTTATATTATTTTAAATACCCTCAATTAGAGGAGTTTCATTCTGTAGCACAAGTAGCTACTTCTGTTAAATTTCAAGAGTATAAAAGGTTATTTTAACCTTTGCAAAACTTTTAAAACTTTACAAAACTGTCATTTCGCTTCAGACTAGAGCGAAAATCGTCAGTATACGAGGGTCTGGAAGACATTGATTTTATCTTCTGCTCAGTTAGATCTCTACATGGTAAATATAGAGTCCTGCTTAGTTGCTCTAACTGTCATTTTAATTTTTGAGCTTTTCCTGAAATCTCTCATTTCCCCTTGCATTTCCTCGCCAGAATACAAATTAAGTAGGTGGACCAAGAGTATTTAAACGGTTGGAAATTGAAAGGTTAGACACAACTGGATTTCGCTAGTGCACGCGTTTGTTATGTTTTCCTCCAGCTGTTAATCTTAGCAGCGGCTACGCATTCTGTCCGTCTAGTTAGTATATCGCAAGTGCAGGTTTCTGAGTTAGTCTGTTAAATTTATTTGAATTGTGTAGTCTAGCACTAACCCCATACCTTTTACATTATTGTCATCTTTTAGGTTCTCACCGCAAGGGGACGGTATTTCTGTGTAAGCATACATATTCGTGTCTTTTGTTATTCAGTTTGTGATAAACAAAGGGTCTTTCACACCCTTTATCTGTTGTGTTCATCTTTATGCCTGTGCGAGAAGTCGACAGATACAAACCTTAAATAGATCTAGTTACCTTATCACGCTTGCTAAATACCTTGGACCTTACAGTAATAATAATAATAATAATAATAAATTGTGAGATTAAATTAACCAATTGCATTCACATGCAGAAATTTCCTGACCTACGTATGCAGCTAAAACTGAAAGATCTTTGAATGTAAATTGCTCAATTAATCAAATTCAAATCTCTAAAACTATTAATATTTTTAAAACTGCTAAAATTGCATTGCAGTGATAATTAACAGTCTAAAATTAAGCTCTATAATTTTACAGCTGTTTCATTAAATAAAATTAAACCATTTATGGTAGCCAAGGAGCATCTATTTAAATAAAGACTAGTAAATATTGATCACAAAATTTAAATTATTATATCCCATTCACTGAACAAATAATTCAGTTCAAAAGTATATTGCTGGTTGAGGGCAGAAAATAAGTAACTAGGAAAACTAATAGAAAACAAGCGAAATATTTACTTAAAACTATAAGATTTAACCATCTTTGCTATCATGCAATGTGATTAGATCTTAGCGTCAAAACCTGGCGACTTTTCGCACAGGCGTGAAGAGGAACACAACAAAGAAAGAGTATAAAAGCCTTTTTATTAATCACAACTTTTTAACAGAAAGGCACGGACTTAGTGCATATAAGAGCACCAACTACTTGCAGTGAGAACTTAAAGGTAATTTAACATAATATTAAGAATAGTGCTAGACTACACAATTTAAGTTTAAACTTAACAGGCTGACTTAGAAACCTACACCGGCGATATACTAACCAGACGGCCAGAATGCGTAGCCACTACTAATAATAATAACTATAGGACAAAATAGCAAACGCGGTCCTCACTAGTGAAAATCACGCTGTCCTACTTTCTTCGTTTCAACCGTTTAAATACTCTCGTTCACCTACTTAATTTGCATCCTGGCGAAGAAATGCGAAGGGAAATAAGAGAATTAAGAAAAGATACTAAAATTAAAATAGCTGCTTAGTAAAACTAAGGAAAACCTTACAGAACTAAAAATAAATAAGAATGAAAATTATCCGTCTTCTCATCTGTCTTTATAAATCTAGCTCTAATTTAAAAGTAAATCTTACTTTTTGAGACTTATAATAAGACTGAGTAAGTCATATGGATGCCAGTTACTAATATACACCAGGACAGCGATTCACCATCTGAAGAGGATGAAAAAATGTTGAGGCATTGAATATGAGTTGCAAACTCAGTACTCTTGCGGCTATGCTAGCCTTCATTTTTTATTTGCTATATACTATAATCACGTATTTTATGCATTTGTCAAGTTTTTTGCCGATTTTTGACTCTTCTGTTTCGAATTATATTTAAAAACAATCAAAACTCAGTATTTAAACTATTTGGTATCATTAATATAAACCTGAAATTGTTAACAAATTTTTTTAAAATACACTTTTCATATTTACATATAATTTTGCACATATTTATATGAGTCTTTGAAACTGCAAAGAATTTTGTTACAATAAAACAGTGATATATCATTTGTTTATAAGTAAATCTTTTATCTGCTTTATTACTGCCCTTCTCCATACAGAAAAAAGAAGTAATAATTAATCATTATAGGCAGTAGTTCATAACTAATTGTCTATAATCAATAGCTAAATGTCAGGCCCAATTTGCAAAACTGGAGGTAAACTTATTACAGGGAAGCCCCTTCACCTCTAATTTTTTTTTAGAATAGTAGATGCCGCCCAACCGGTATAGTAGTTTGCGTCGCTGACTGCCTTGCCAAAGGGCCCGGGTTTGAATCCCGGAGAAGGCATTGATATTTTTAAATGTATAGTGTCAGTGCGGCATGGCGGCACTCCAAATATGTCGCGAGCTGAAAGTCCTCTCGTGTGGTTTGGTGGAAGGGGAGAGGGGTCGGAGACCCTCGGACCCGTCACTCCGGGGTGCTCTCCGTCAAAATTGGGGGCAGAACTGAGCTAAATCGCACTGTCATCTGCAAGGTGCTCAAGGCTATTGCCAACGACAGGCGTATTTTAGCGCTCCTTGCCATGAGGAATTTCGTGCGCCTGAGCTGACTACGTCAGACAAGTGAGTATAAGCAACAACAACAAGAACAACAGTATAGTAGATAAGACCGAGGCGAATTACATATAGTACTGCGAGTTGTAACTGAATAATTTACAATCTTTTCCTTTAAAGTTTGTAGAGACATTAGGTAATTTTTGGAAGCAGGAAAGATGAAAAATGAGCAACCGCCTTCGCCGGGAATCGAACCGCGAACCTCTCAATTACGCGCTGAGCGTGCAGACCACTACACCACGAAGGCTCGCTAAGAAGGCGGGAGAAATATCTTATAATTTTGTAGAGACATTAGGTATTTTTTGGAAGCCGCCATTTTCGTGTGCATTCTTTCTGTTGTATTCCGAGTTCCAACGACTTTTATGCACAAATCGTGGTAGTTTTCGCAATTCAATTTAAAATTGAATTGCAAAATGTGCTTGCTGAATCTGCCAGCAATGAAAGATCCTGAGATAACATTTTTAGAGGAATATAGTATTTTGCCGCTAAATTGTTAAATGGGAAAATTATGAAATGCATTTGGTAGATAGTCAGTGTGGCATGCCGAGGTGGCCCCCGGTGCCGAGTTTGTGCAGTTTTCTGATGTTTTTAAAGCGAAAGCAGACTAATGTGTATACGAGGAGAGAAAAGCGGAAAAAAGAATTACAGCAGGATTTCGCGAAAGATGTGGTTTTAATGCATCATGTAATCCTTATTTAATAATTAAAATTTGCATTTTAAATTAATAAAGTGTATTTTCTTTTCATATGTTTATAATGTGTGGCCACTTATGATAAATAACGATAGTCCGAAAATCTTTTTTAAAAAAATTCAAGAAAATCGCTAGCTTGCTCCCGATAAGTTAATTTACCCTTTCTTATGTAACAAATCGCCATATTGCCAAGGTGACTGCGTTAATATGTAAGTAAATAATTTTTGTGATAATTTTCCTTTGAAATTATGCAGCATTTATCTTTAGAGAGCTGCGCTGGGGAACTTTCCAGCGCCGCCTTTCTTTTAGAATCTATATTTATTTTCATTTTATGCAAAGCAGTTCATAATTTTAGAGGTTCAGAAAAACATTGAGGTCGATAATTCCCATTCGACATGCGGAACAATTAATTTTGGTGTTTAGAAGGGCCTGATTTACGCAAGGCGAACTGGGCATGTGCGCCGGACATTCGCTTTCAGTGGGCCTGAAAATCCTTCTATAATACTGTTTAAAATTTTAAATACATATTTCTTTTTTTAATTCTAGGTATTGAAAAATTAGAAGTAGAAACAAATTTCGTTTTTTTATTTTTTTTCTTCAAACACCAGGCACTGTGTATCTTGCGAGTTCATTGCTGAAAGAAATCATTTAAAGTAGGCTTGTTTTTAAACTAACCCTAACTCGCATAGCCTATCTTTGCTATTTCTTGACCACCCCATTTTGAAGCTCAGGATGTCTCGTAAATATGAGGATCTTTTTATTATCGTAAGCAGAGTTATATAGTACTTAATTAATTAAATTTATGAATAATTTAGTTGTATTATTTTGAGTACTTATGCATTAGCGTATACT